ATTGAAACATCAAACCTTAAAAAATTGTTTTAAAAGATTAAAACTTGCTTTATCCGATTGTAAAAATATGTTCAAACTTGCTAAAGTTCATAATAGTAATATGAAAAAAAAACACTAACATCTAATGACTCAAAAATGACATATAAATTATTACATGCAAGTAATAAAGCAAAGGTTCGAGAATTAAAAAAGAAAAAAAAACAAGGAAATAAAAGAATTGAAAGATTACAATAATAAAGTCATTACAACTCTTAATAAAACAGTTAAACTTTTGATAGGTAGGCTTGAAAAAAGTGACAAAAAAGTTGCACTTTATGCAAAAAATTGTATTATTGTAAACAAGAAGTATAGCATGGTAGTAAATAATCATTAATAGTTTTCTTCTAATAGTTTAAATAAATCTAAAAAAGATATTGACTCTCCTAACATCGCAAAAAAAAATTATTATACAAAGAAAATAGAGATTTGAACGCTTTAAATTGCCTTCTCCTTGATACCAAAATAGTAACATTTCAAAATGGAAGGTATTCTAATGATATAAGAGAGGTTATTATGAATTTAGTTTTTTTGATGTCAGTATGAATAAAAGTTAATGAGGTTATCACCATTGTTTTTAAAAACTAGCAAAGTTAGATAAAGAAAAGCTTCCCTCAATTGATACAAAATCTCGGTTTATGATTGAAGCATTAGCACTTGCTCAGCTTCAAGTTGGAGAAGAAATGATACATATTGTAGAAAGTAATTCAGGCAATTGTCTTCACAGTGATGGTACCACTAAATACCATAGACATTTTCAAAATTTAAATAACCAAAACATTAGATGATATATGTGACATTTTAGATAATAGCAGCAAAGAAAAAAAAATTTCTAACCTTGTATGTTCTTTTAAAACTACCATATCTGATCTTGGGCCAGGATATTTACTGTTTAATTTAAAACTTGAAGATATGAGAAAAAAATTACTGCCTAAAAATATAAAGAACAGGAAAAGTTTAAAAATCCATTTTTGTGAAAAAATGAAACTTTAGACTTGTGTAAAAATGCATCATCAATTATGATTTTGAAAACACCTATATTCAGTCCAAGTGATGTTAATATTCATAAAGATATTTTGTATGACAAATTATTTGAAGAGACTGCTTATACTGATTTAAATATTTTAACACTGCAGACATTAGAAATGATTTGTCATTCTTTATTAGTTGTTCTTGAAAGACAATCTGGTGGTCAACTTCCTGAAGGTAAATATTGGCATCCTTCTGATAATATAAGTATGTCTGCAAAGAATGTTCCAACAACAAACAAAGCTTTAGAAAGTGACTGTTTTAATTCGTACAAAACCTAATGCCAAAATACAAACTATACAAACTTATACTATGTGGTATAAAAATAAAACACTAGACTGGTTAGATAAAGAGACTTTGGATGAACGTGAATCCTTGCTTAAAAAACCATCAAGTAACTTTAATAAAATGAAAGATAAATGCAAAAAACGTGAAGTTGAGTGAGTGAAAGATTGCCTGAAAAACATAAAGCTAAAAAAACAGCTGAAAATAAAGCTTTTTTTAAAAAAGCAAAATCGGTAAATGAGTTGTTAAAGTTAAGAACAAAAACTTAAAAACCAAAAAAATATTAGGACCACAGTTGGATTTTTACAGGTATGTTATGGAAGCAAAATGTGAACCTAAATATTTTTAGAAAACTAAAATGCTTGGTGGTAAGAGAATAGACTTTACAAACTATGAGTTGTTCAGTAATTTGCAATCAATTATTAGAGCAAGGAGTTTTCCAGAGCCTATTGAGAAAAAGATTTTTCTTAAAGAAAGAAAAGAATGAGATATTTTGATTTTGAAACAAAAAAAAAGAGTTATGTGAAAAATTGAAGAATACAAGACTGTCTAAGTTAGCAAATCAACAAAAATTAAACATCTTGCCTAATATTTTAAATGATTTTAATTGTCTTTTTGAGAAATTTATTCAACATAAAATTATACTAAAAAAGATTTTGGCGTACAGTTCTTAGAATAAACAAGTTAATCCCTAATTTTAAAAAAACTTTATTTGATGTAGTCTATGAGACTAAAGAAAATCAAGTAAGTATTTTTCCATTACTTGTTGACTTTGAAAATGGAAAGGTTATTGTATTGTAAAAGCTTATTTTACAATGCATTTAATTGAAAAAATAAATAAATTGTTAGTTATATATTAAATATGTGATTTGAAAAAATTGAAAATTGGTCAACCTAGTGTTTACAATTTGTTATTCTGACTTTTCAATAGAGTAAAAGCAGGGCTATAATTAAATTAATTTGCATAATTATTTTTACTGTTCCAAAGTATAAGAAGAAACAGCTTTTTGAAGTTTTATGTCCTTAATACGTAAGTTAAAAATGCCTATAAAATTCCTAAATACCTTGTATTTCTCGCGTTGACAGTTCACACCAACTGCAGGGGTGAGTATAAAAAGCTGTTTCAATATATAATTACTTTGCAATCAAAAATTCTTAAACAAACCTTTAGAAATCTTCTTCCCCTTTATTCATCTCAATTTTTACTATACTATATTTTGATATTTCAAAAGATTGTATAGTAATAATACTACACAATCTTTTGATATTTTGTTTTTTTGATTAACTAGCTCATACACATTTGTACAGGAGACTAAACGCTTTTTTTTTGTTTATCTGTTTGAAGTTCTTGTAACACTAAAGAAACGATCTAAAACACTGTCTTGTAACACAAGTTTTTCCTCTTTTGATATGCTTAACTCATCAAACACTCATATTTCTTTTGAAAATGTCGAGATTGAAAAGTCACTAAGAGTTTCTTTCAAGAATAAACTTGAGTGGTCTGATTAAATAAATAATAAAGCATTAAAAGCTATTCAGGTGCTTAATATTCTTAAAAGAACTTTTATTAGTTGGAATCTAATTATGTTTTTAAAACAATACACGTTCGCCGTTTGATATTTGCGAACCAGTATGGAACCACCTGTATAAAAAAGATATTAACTCAAAAATAAAATTCAACTCAACTAAACTAGTTTCTCAATTAAGAAACATGAACTACGAATCTTTGTGGTTCCCATAAACTTTCTTAAATAAAGTTCGTACCAAGTTCAATATCGGGGACCTTTAGTTTGGAAAAAATTTCTTCCAATCTTTAATAAAAAACAAAACTTCGTTTTAAACTGCACTTTGCAAAGTTTTAAGGATGATTAAAAACGGCAATTACTAAATATGGAATTCGATATATTAGATTTCAAATACCTTTTTTGAAAATAATTTAAAGGTTTAAACTAAATCACTTAAAAATAAATTAAATCTTTAACACTTTTTTTAGCTTTTATTAAAATGGTTTCAAACCATTAGTATAAAAGATAAAGAAAATAAAATTGTCTTTTTCGTTCATATTTTTGATGATATTAAATAATCAACCCAAATACTTATGTTTACATATATTGCTTTTTTTTTTTAATTAAACAACGCATTTTTTTTGTGTTTTTATAACTTTCATGATTTTCTGTCGTTTTTACTTTTTTATTTTTAAAATTATTCTGCTGGAAGATTGCAACAAATTATTTTATTGCTGAAGTTTTTTTATTTATACTGTCTTTTTGTCTTTTATCATTTATTGTGTATGTAAATTTTTGTGTGACGGGGCTCGGTGATAAGACAACCTGTCTTCTTCTTGCTCCGGCCAGGATTTTTTTTTTTATTGTAATTTCTTTTTTGTAATATTTATCAACGACAAAATAAATAAATAATTAAAAAAAAAAAAAATCTCGATTGGCAAAATTGGGATTAACAACAATTTCAGAAAGATAAATGAGGGGCGATTTGATTCAGTATTTAATCTACAAAAATATTAATGAATTCAAGTTTCTAAATCTAAATATAACACTTGTTTTTCAAATTGTCCTGCAGAAAACTTACGAAAAAAAAATCCACAACCATGCTATTGTCAGAGAAATTTCAAATAACTCGCATAGACTCAACTTCTTACCTAATAGAATTGCATCCTAATCGAATGCCTCGCCTTCTGTTTCCTCACATTCTGACAACGAATTTAAGAACAAAATACGATAATTTTTGTCGATCCACGAGAATAAAGCCTACTATAACGGGACTTTGATAGATTTCCAGTTCATAGAAGCTACTGTAGATTATTTATAAAAATATAATATCGCCTAAAAAGCTCAACTCGTGAATCGATTTTAAATTAGACACGGTTGATTTAACATCAAATTTAATAACTAAGACACCAATAACTTTCTTTTATTCTGATAACTCTTCTTTTAAAAATGAATTTTCTTCTTTTAGGATTGAAAGACTATTTACTACTTTTCAAGTTTTTAAATTCGTAGTTCAAAATGTTAAGCTCAGATTCCAAAGTTTTTATTTTTTTATTGTTGTTAATACAAACATCAGAGGCATGTTTTTCTACAGGGCTTTATAAGACTCATTGCCGATTTAAAGAGAGAAAATTAAAATGTTTTCAGAGACCATTATATTGAGTCACTTGTAATTTATCTAGTCGGCTGTCGAAATAATTCAATACTTTGTTATTAGTAGTTTCCACATCTGCTCTTTTTTTTTCCTTTTAAGATTAACATTATTGGCATTTATAAAAATTGTCGTATTTGCCATTCACTCAAGATTGCTTGTGGTTCTGAGATTGAAGAATCAAGATTGCTTGAGATTGTAAAAAACTTTCAAAATCGTTAAGGAACTTATTAGACGATTTGATTATCAATATCATTAAATATTTGTTTATTTTCTTTAAATAATTTTTCTTCTGTAAATTTGGCTGCCATCTTTAATTCTCGAACTAATGGGTGACTTTTTGGCTAGGGATTGTAATAAGACGAGAGGTTCACACGGTGGTGTATGTTTATACGGTGTTTAAACTCTCTCCTATCAATTTTTAATTTTTATTTAATATTTTTTTTTAAATATTTATATCTAAAATGTATATACGAAAATTTTAAAAACAAAAGTTAAAAATGACTTGAAAACAAATTTTGATTTGCAAATAAACTACAATAAGATTCAAATATTATTCTTTAGTTTCCAGAGCAACTGAACCAGAAATAATTTCCGTAAGTTCAGTGGTGATAACAGCTTGTCGAGTACGATTATATTTAACTCTAAGACGATCTATCATGTCACCTAAAAACATATTTCAGATTACCACGTGTAATAAAATAGTCTTAAACTAACAATTAGTATTTAATATTACATCATCGACATAAAAAGATAAATATAAATTAAAGATAAAGGATTATAAAACAGAATTTAACTAACCAGCGTTCTTTGTAGCATTATCCATTGATGACATTCTAGCACTTTGCTCTGAACATGCTGACTCCTTCATACCAAAGTAAATTAAATTTGCTAGAGAAAATTCATGATAATTACGCAAAACATCTTCATCAACGTCATCGTACTGTAGCATCGCCTCTAAAAAAGAATCAATACAATTAAAGCTTAAAATTCATATAAACAGATTTATTTACACAACTTAATATTCTAACCTGCAGTACTAAGAGTCTTAAGGGAATAAATATCCATTGGAGTACAGGAATATGATATCACAGATCTAAATATGTTAATAACTACAATATATAATGACAAACATTCTCACTAATTAATTAAAACATAATTATATACAGTTATGGCCATAAAAAACCCAAACACTATAACATTATAGATAATTACTGCGTGCTAGAAACACACCAAATGAAAATGCCCAAGACAACTGTTTACAATATCATTCAATGCATCAAGTTAATAGATGGCATCAAACCAGAAAAATCCTTTGAAAGATTAACGTTAAAACCCTAAAAACTAACAATAAGATATACTGTATAGCTATGAAGGACGTATAGTTTTAAAGCTCACAAATGCTTAGTCAACTGTCTCCTAGCGTAAATGCTAGTTGTGAACGTTTTCACGCATGACAAAGTAATTTGCTATTAGGTAAAAGTTGCCAAGACATAGTTCCAAGATAATGAAATTATTGTTTTTACCATGTGGCAGGGCAATTCACTTGATTTAAACCCAAGGAGGGAATCAACTCAAATTTACCAGATTGCAAAAAATTTTGCAAAAAATAACAAACTTTCAAGATCCTTATATGGCTTTGGCCATTCCATTTTATCTATTCACAAGTCAAGATTGCTTAATTCACCCTTTGAAATCCCATGCGTGAAACCCCATTAAAACCTAATGCGTGAAAACCTATCAAAAACTAATGCGTGAAAACCCAACCACACAAGCAAATCTGAGAAGACCCTTATGAAAGCAAATCTGAGAAGACCCTTATGAAAGTTTGGTTTCATTAAAACAAAGCCCAAATAATGTCTCTTGGTGTCCGAATATTGCAAAGATCAGAAGCTGTTCTAAAAGTTCAAAGTACTAAGAAGTTTATATTGAGACTTATCTAATGATAAATGTATTCAATATACAACAGAAAAACAAGTTTTTGCTATAACAAATATAATATTATAAATATTATATATATATAAATATTAAAAATATACACATAATTATTGGGTGGTCACTTTTTGGCCATAACTGTATATAAGTATAAAGAAGACTGCTATCAACTTACTTAAATTTGTTGTAAAACATTTCTCCATGATCAAAGTCATAACCTGAATCTAAAACCTGCTCTGCAATAAAAGATGCTTCTTCAAAAATCGGTGGTTTGCGACCCAATTCATTCATATTGAATAGAATGTCACTAGCTATGATAATAGTAACATTTTTAATTTTTTTAATTTTTTGAATAACCTTATTTATATTTACTTCAAGTCAACAAAATGCTCATAAATAATGCAAATAATTATTTTACATTTGATTAAAAAGTTTTTTAAATGATCATTGTTTGCAAACAAACAGCTTATATTTGTTCAAATGGGGGTTGATTTTTTTAATTTGATTTTTCAGCATTTGTTAAAGCTGAAACTGGTTTTGAAGTTACATTGATTTAATAACAACGAATCACAATTTTACTATATAGTAGACACCTGCCATATCAAATTCTATTTAAACTTAAATTTACAATAGTTTTAAGTAAAAAACTTTTTTTTAAAAAAAAACAATACTAATTTATGCATAATAGATATATTAGCTTGACTCAAATAATATATACAAGCTTTAAGTGCATAAATTAAAAAATTGTTTCTGTATTGAAAAACCTCTATAATAGCTATAATTCTTTAGGCTATACATTTAAAATTTTTTTACATAATTTAAAATAACTTTTGTTTAACAATTTATGAATCTAATTATACTCAATGAATTTAAATTATAATCATGCTCCTCCATTTTAATTTATGTAATTTAATTTATTTATTACAATTGTGCATTGTGCATATACATATGAAATTTCAACTCCCCTTAAAAAAATTAAATGAATATGGTTTACATTTATAAATTTTTTAATTTTATTTTATAAATTGTACAAAGATATTCTTTACCATTTAAATAATAAAAAATTTAATAATGATAAATAGCTGAACAAAAAAAAAAATTAAAAAAAACAACTCACAATGTGTTCTTTGCAAGATGTTTCTTGCTTTATCGCCACACACAACAAGTTTAGTTTTGACCCCTGCTGGTAAGGAAGCAACACGTGCTTTGACAGCTTTAGAAATACCAGAGTGAACTGAGCCACACAAACCACGATCTGATGAAATAGCAATAATTAAATGATTTTGCTCATCCACTTCCTTGGGCAATGAAGCTTTTTGATACAAAGCTGAATAGAAACAAAGAATATAGTAAACTTTTCTTTAATATTTGCACTTTTGCTAGACTATACATAATTCCTTATTTTATATCAACTTATTTTAAACAAACCTTGGGCACCAATTCCATACACTCGAGCTGTTTTGAGTTCCCTTTCAGCTTTGGAATATTTAGCTGCTGAAACCATTTGCATAGTCTTTGTAATTTTCCTAATGTTTTGGACAGATTTCAACCGAAGACGAACTAAAATTATATTAATAATATTCATATCATAACATTTATCATTATAATATATAAATAATATTAGAACAAAAATATTATTACAATAATAGTTTAAATTTGATTAAGAAACATAAATTGTAATATATTAACATAACACATAAATTAACATAAATTGTAATTTTGTAATTGAATGCGCATTTTAGTTAAGGAAAAAACTGGTTTTTATTTAATAAAAATTCTTTACACATTCTTAAATAATAAAACTTTGATGTCCCTAATCACGGGTGGGAAATGGTGAGCATGGTGCTTAGGATGTCAAAAAATCATTTTAGTTGCACGTGGATTATAAATATATATAAAAAAGCAGTCATTATGGATATAACAATTTTTATTGTTTATATTTTTATAAAATATTTAAAGAGTTAAAATTTCAGTCCATTTGCATAGAATGACTCATATATATATATATATATATATATATATATATATATATATATATATATATATATATATATATATATATATATATATATATATATATATATATATATATATATATATATATATATATATATATATATATATATATATATATGGGTCATTCCAAATTTTGGGATTCCAACATGGACCCCCTCAGATTTTGATGAAACTTGGGTTAGTTTTTATCAATAAGAAAAGCATTTCCTGAAAATTTCAGCTTAAAATCTTATGTGATTCATGAGATATCGTTATTTAAAATTTCTGATTTTTTCAAAAATTAAAACTTTGTTAGCAAAAACATGTTTTGTTCATACTTTAAAGCTCTATATTTTAAAAACAAAAATTCAGAATACCTTCTAGTTTTTTTTTATTATATACAACTGTAGGCTTACTTTGTTAATACCTTGACATTGAATTTTTTAATATCACATTTTATCCATAATGGCTGCCTAAAAAACCTTGAAAATTGTTTACAGATATAAAAAGTTGATTTTTGATGGATCAATATACAAAATATGAATATTAGACAAAATATTAAAGAAATGCATTTTCAATACATTTCAAATAATGCAGTTACATTACATTGCATAAATTTTAAATTAGAAGAACGTTATGCTACTTGCTCAACTATTCCAGGAACAAGAAACCACCATTGTTTTATACCAAAATCATTAATAACTTTATGGATGAGACAGGTGTCGTTTGAAAATGTGTTTACTAATGTAAATATTTCAATAATACAGCAGAACTATATGATTCCACTTGCCTCTCTTTCACCAGGAATTTATATAGCATGTGTTTATGATGAAAAATGGTTTTTAGGTAATATTGTAGAAATATCTGAAGAAAATCAAGATATCCTTATAAAGTTCATGAAGTAGTCTATTTCCTCAAACACTTTAACTTGGCCACATAGAAAAGATATTTGCTGGGTTCCAATTAAGCATGTTCTATGAAAAACTTCATCTTTAAAAGTGCAATCAGCAACTGGTAGATGCTATGAACTATCAGCTCATGAAAAAACTGAAACCCTACATTTGTACAATAGTATATATAATAACAAAATTATATAACAACATAGCAAAATTGTTATTAATTTGATCAATCCAAATTTTTTGTTGAAGAAAACTTGAATGATTCAATTTTCATATCGATTTTTTATTAAATAATAATATGTAATTTATTTATTACATAATATATATTACATAACAAACTTTTGTATAGCGATAAAAAATCACTTGGTGTAATCTGTAACCTAAATTTAAACAATAATAATCAAATAAATTGGGAAGGGCAGAATAGTGAATGCTTTGGGAAAAACTATACAAAATTTAGTCAGAATATGAAATAGTAAGAAAATAAGTGATATGAAAACAAATATGAGTTGGGCAGATAAAAAGAATGAAACAAAAAGTCTTTGTTTTCATTATTTACCCAATGTGCAACTTTTATATGTGTTCTAATTACTATTTTACAAACTAAATGTCACAACTTTTATATGACACTTTACTTAAGGTAAAATATTTAATAAATAATTGATAAAATTATTCAAGAAAATAGTTCTTATAATTAGAATGTTCTGTGCAAAAATATGCATGTTAAAAAGTATATGGCCGTGTCCATTTACTTTTTAACATTGAGGGGAGGCAATTAAGGCTATTCTAAAACTGAGTTTAATTCAGTCTTAGTTTATAGCTTATTTCTGGTAATGATTATGATACTTTTATACATATATATTTTTTGCATTACAGTAGATAATGAAAACTAAAGTACATCAATACCTGAAATCACTTTAATAAAGTCTCTTAATAAACCAGTAAAAAAAAAATTATTATGAAAATCAGTGTTGATCCTAGGTTACCAGTGGTTTTAAACGAAGGCACAATTTTTAGAGTTTTACCTGGAGCCATTTTTAGGAGTCCATTATTTCTTACTGAGTCATATCTTATCAGCAAATTTTTAAATATTAGGAAGCCTACCATATATACAAACTAAAAAGAAATGTCTTTTCACTTCTTAAGTTGCTAATTTTGTATATTGATCCATCAAAAATCAACTTTTTATATCTGTAAACAATTTTTAAGGTTTTTTAGACAGCCATTATGGATAAAATGTGACAAAAAATTTAATGTCAAGGTATTAACAAAGTAAGCCTACAGTTGTATATAGTAAAAAAACTAGAAGGTTTTCTGAATTTTCGCTTTTAAAATACAGAGCTTCAAAGTATGAACAAAACATGTTTTTGCTTACAAAGTTTTAATTTTAAAAAAAAATCAGAAATTTTAAATGGGGATATCTCATAAACCACAAAAGATTTTAGGCTGAATTTTTTAGGAATTGCTTTTCTTGTTAATATAAACCAACTCAACAAGTTTCATCAAAATATGACGGGGTCTATTTATGATAAAATATGAAAGGGTCTAAGGGGAAAAAAAATATATATATATATATATATATATATATATATATAGCCACACACACACACACATATATCAGCTTTTGGAATTACGGTTGGCAAAAGTGATTAAAGTTGTTTTTATGTTTTATGGTAACTCCTTAGAGTCAAATTTTTTTGCTGACCTCTAACAGTTTAAAGTCAGCAGTTTATTGCACATCTCATTTTACCTAATTCTGAGGGCTGTAAAAACAGACTACAAGTTACGGATGTTCTGCAAACATCTATTTTTATTATGTGACGTTTTATATAGATATATATTATTTTATGCATGTAAAAGGGAATATAGAATATATACTATAGATATAATTAATATGAATAGGTAGTTTTGCTTTTATTCTATGATACAACAATGGCGCTATGAGTAGGATATCAGAGTTGATTTTAGAAGATCCAGACAATGCAGAAGCTTGAATTAGATGCTTTTCAGCTTCTGCTTGGTCAAAAAAGTTGAAAGACACGATAAATGGCGACCACGAAGTGACTGATTTGTTTTTATCAAAAGCAGGAACTGATGCAATAAAAAAAACTCATGGTGTATCCAGAACAATTAGAAGAAACGACTTTTAATGACATTAAAATTATGTCCCATTTAAGACCACAAAAACGACTAATAATTGCCGAAAGAGTTGGATTTTTAGCCTTGAAACAACAAAATAATGAAAGCGTTGTATTATACGCACAAAGATTACGAGAGGCAGCACGTTTTTGTAATTTTGAAAAATTGGGTAGATGGACAAACCGCAGAAGATGATCTCATCCAAATGAGACTAATTGACAAGCTTCAATCTTCTGACCAGAAAGTCAAGGCTCTCGAAATGCTACAGAATGGATAATCACCTAAATTAGGAGCATGTGTGGACTTTATAAGACAGATTGAAGAAATATATGCATTTAATATGCACAACAGTGCTGACAATATGGAATCCCTTACAGTCAACTATATTGACAAAAATAAAAAAAACCATTTAAACGCAAATATTGTGGACTACAACACCTACCACGAAAATGTCCAGCATTTGGAAAAAAGTGTAATAAATGTGGGAAATTGAATCATTTTAAAAATGTATGTAAATCTAATATTAATTATGCAAGAAAAGTAGATAAAGTAGAGACTGATGATACAAGTGTATATTCTGTTAACATGAATGACTTGAATTCAGAAACAAATGTCAAAATGGTTTCAACATTAAAATGCAAGTTGAAACTGAAAGTCAGGTCACAATTATACCTAAAAACTTTTGGGAGTTAATGTCAAAACCTAAATTACAAAAATGTTACCTTCGTCTCAAACAATTTGATGACACACTTATTAAAGTTTTAGGGGAATTTTAGGCAACACTGGAAACTAAAACTAAAATAAATATTGTACGAATTATTGTTGCGGATTGCACAAAAAATCACGGTTTGATTGGCATGGACATATTGAAAATTAATGCAACAAACTTAGTTAACAGTGTAGAACCTTTTGTTAGTGGACGCTTAGTAAACTATAAAGCAAATATAATAATAAAAAATGGAATGCAACCAAGTTATTTTGAATCTAGACCTCTTCCAATTCATATACAACCATTTAATAAACTTAATGTAATGATACAACAAGGATTGCTCAAAAAAGTTCCACCTGGGAAGCAAATTCACCACTTGTTGTTGTCAGAAAACAAGATGGAGATCTACGTACATGTGCCGATTACAAAATAGGAGTTAATTAAAACATTTATTCAGATTCATAACCTATTCCAAATATTGAGAATGTATTTCATAAGATGGTAGGGATAAGGTACTTCGCCAAAATTGATCTCAAGGAAGCATATCACCAAATTGAAATGGACAAAGATGCACAGGAAAAACAACAATTAACACACCTATCGGATTGTTAAGATGGACATACTTGCCTTTTGGAATAAAAACTGTGAGTGCTATATTTTAAAAAGCAATAGAATCTATTGTTGGGAACATTATTCCTAATATGATTATATTTCAAAATAATATATGCATTGGTGGTAAAAATGCTGAAGAACAAATGTAGTTTGATGAAAATTTCAAATAAATTGGAAGAATCAGGGATGATCATAAATAAAAGTAAATCAGTAATGGAAACAAAAAGCCTCTCATTTTTAGGATATGAGCTATCTGAGGAGGGAGTTACTCCAGATCATAATTTAATTAACAAAATACTCCAAATCAGTCCTCACAATGATAAAAAAGAACTTGAATCATTTATAGGATTAGTAAACTTTAATAGTCAACATATTGAAAGATATGCTGAAAAAATTTTACCGTTAAATAATTTGAGGAGGAAAGGAGTTGCCTTTGAGTGGAAAAAAGAACATCAAAGTGCATTTGAATTGCTAAAGAAGAACCTTTCTGAAGACCCAGTGGTAAAAAATTTACGACATCAATAAAGATCTAGAATTAACAACTGATGCTAGTGAAAAAGCAATATCCGGTATATTATCACAAGATGGTCACCCTGTTCTTTTTCTTTCACGATCTTTGTCTGATGCAGAAACAAGATATTCTTACATAGAGAGAGAAGCGCTGGCTATAATGTGGTCTACTCACAGAGCTAGGCATTTTCTGATTGGTAAAGGATTTAAGCTTATATCAGACCACAGACCATTGGAGTTCATATTTGATTCTAACAAAGAACTTCCTAAAGTGACTTCTGCCAGAATTTTAAGGTGGGCCCTGCAAATGATGGCCTTTGACTATGATCTATTTTTATCTTATATTATTTTATATAACATCTATTTTTATTACGTGGCATTTTATATAGATATATATTATTGTATGCATGTAAAAGGGAATATATACTATAGATATATAATTAATATGAATAGGTAGTTTTGCTTTTATTTTACGATACAACAATATAACAACAATATATATGCTATATATATATATGTATATATATATATATATATATATATATATATATATATATATATATATATATATATATATATATATATATATAAATTAGGTTGTTGTAGATGACTTTTTGGCCTTGAGGAGTTGAATTACCAAAAAATATATATATTTTTATTTACATATAGAAAGAACAACTTTTCATGGGACTATAAGTTTCATGCTTATATGGCAATCATCAGCCATGTACTATATCAAAAACAAACAAAAACCGTTAATAAAATTAAAAAATACAGTAGAGCGACATCTGATGTCTCTATAGAGACAAAACAAGAAAATGTCAAAGAAAATTGTATACAAATCAGCAAATTGCCAGTATCATAAAACGAAAGAAGGAATTTATTTTTTATGCTTACAATTTGAAATCAACTTGTTCCTTTTGTTCAGCAGATTTCCCCATGTATGCGTTAAAATATAATACTTTTCATTAAGACAAAGGTTGCAAATTTTGGACAAAGGATTATATGTTTGGCAGCGCTTGATAATTTTCCACTTAGAAACAAACGAAAAATTTTCTTCTTTAAGTTTTCAAATTTCAAATTCCTCATCATTGCTGTACTTAATCAAATTAAAAGATTTTAAATGGTTTGCATACCTTAACTTGAAAAGGGTCTCGCTAATACCAATTTAAACTTTTTCTGTTTAAATTGGTTTTTTTGATAAAATAGTAGCTTGATACACAATGTTGTTACTTAGACACTGGTTGTTCATAATGCAGGTAGATTTATTGATGCAGTTGCAGGTTTTTGTTTTTGTTTTTTTATGATTGTATAAAATACTTTGATTATGCAAATTAATGACTGATTTAACATTCGGCATGCGCGAGTGGCTAATTTTAATGATGTTTCGTTCAAAAATCTTGCGTAGTAAATGACCAACAGGAAAGCTTGCATCAATTATTTTTTAAAAAAGACTACCTACCTCTGTTGCAACATTTCTACTATATGGGGAATTATAGCAAATAATGTTGCGTTTGTGATTTTGGAAATTTATAGTCCCATGAAGTTGTTTTTTCTATATGCAAATAAAAAAATATATTAACCGCTCTATTTAGAAAGTTGTTTACATTCTTTATTATTGAGCACTCTTAACCGAAATAGAGTATTATTATTGTAATATACATTAAACATCAATATATATATATATATATATATATATATATATATATATATATATATATATATATATATATATATATATATATATATATATATATATATATATACACACACACACACACATATATGTATATATATATATATATATATATATATGTATATATATATATATATATATATATATATATATATATGTATATATATATATATATATATATATATATATATATATATATATATATATACATATATATATATATACACACATATATATGTATATGTATATATATATATATATATATATATGTATATATATATATATATATATATACATTTATATATATATGTATGTATATATATATATATATACATATATTTATTTGTGTGTGTATCAGGGGATAAATTACTGAGTGAAGGGGATATGTATCAGGGGGTGGATTACAAGTGAAGCAGATGTTTCTATAAATTGGAAGCATGCAGAGCATATTTTGGAAAACATTGTTTAAGCCAAAAATATAGAGGAAGAAAATATTAGACAAAAGTTATAAAAAATTTTCATCTTAGGCATACATGGTACATGGCTGAAAATGTTGTGCCACTTACAAATCCAGATGTAACTAGAAAAATAATCATTAATGATAAAGGAACTAAGTAATTCTATCCATAGAATATCATTAAAATAAAAAAAAATTGATATCATGATATAAAGATATTGTTGAAATAAAGAAAAAAGGTCAGACATTAATAAAGAATTTGTATTAACTGTTTTCAAACTAAAATAATTTAATTGATGATGCAATAAAAATCAATTAAAATTAATGAAAAGTTAAAAACGAAAAATGTGTAAAAAATGAGACAATTTTATAAGGCATCATAGTTTGTAACATATTTATATAATTGAAATTAAATTAAAATTTAAATTAAAAAAAAAAAACATTTTACAAAAAAACATTTTATTAAAGAAATAACAAGAAAATAAATAAACTACCATCTTTTAAAGTGATGTTTTGTTGAGGGGTAGTGCTAAAGCTTCGGCTGCTAAAAAATATATACAAAAAAAAAATCAGAGATGCATGAGAGAATCAGAAAACAAAATAAAAAATTAAAGACGAACATTGCAAAAACAAAAAAATTTTTAACTAAAAAATCAAATCATAAAACAATTTATAAATAAAAATTTTTATTTTAATCTATAATTAAATTTTGGATTAAGTAATATAAAGTTTACAAACTTTATTGAAATTTTACACTATTTTTGAACTGATATAATTTTCATGTCGTTCAACATGGTAGTTTTGAATATATTTTTTTAGAAAAATAGTCTGACACAATTTTTTTGGTAGGCTAAACTACAGTGTTTAGTGTTTTTTCTATTTTATTTACCTCTTTACAGTCTGAGAAGGCCACTACAGTCATGATTTTTCTTTTTTTCAATCACTAGTCTTGATTTTCCTTTTTTTTAATCTTTCTTTTTTAAATTTAGTTACAATGCTGATGTGCAGAGAAAATAAGTTAAGCGCATCACTGCAGTGTTACTACTACTAAAACTACTAAAACTACTACTACTACTACTACTAGTTACTGCTGCTGTTACTGCTATTACTGTTACTGCTATTACAGCTACTACTGCTACTATTAACATTACAGCTATTAACACTGTTGCTACAGCTACTTTCTTGACTAATCAGATGATGGTAGATCATATTTTAATTTACATGTGCTTATACTTTAATGCCTGTGTTTCAGGAATTAGATAAGAAACTTTTTTTCTAATAAAATAATATCTAAAGCAGTATATAAAGAAGAGATAAAAAGTGAATGTTGCTATAAGATAAATAAAAAAAATTGCTAATGTATTACATGAATAGCAATAAGAGAGTAATACTTTAGCAATTTAAATTGATTTTTAAACTTTTTTTTACCCTGCAAAAAAACAAAACTATGAAACAGAAAGATTTTATTGATATGCATTTTCTTTGCAAGTACTTGCACTATCCTTGTACGTAAAGTATAATTTCTTGTTCTGGTATTTGTGACAGAGATGGATCAAATATCCTATTTTTTTCGCATTTTAGAGTTACCTTTACTATAAATCAAAAAAAAATTTTGTCAAAATTAATAAAACATTTTATTACCTAGAAATTGAGATACCAGCAAAACGGTTTGCTAGTCTAGGTACCGCCATCTTATTAAAAGTTTCACCAAGCCAGTACTTGTCGCATACAACCCAACATTTTAAATCGGATCTCCATCGTAGTGATCTATATACTGTTGCAGTTTAAAATTTAGGGTAATGGTGTTCTCAGGGATCAAAGCAACATTTTATCTGGCGTAGGCTAAAAAATTTTTATTGATATATTTTTATATTTAATATTACATTTTATACTTTGTTTTGTGTGAGAGAGAGGGTTTGGAAGTGTGTTTGGCAAAATTTGGTGGAGGGCAAGGGCAAAGCCACTCCCTACCTATTTTCCCCGCTGCTACGATCCCTGATACCGTGGCATATAGTAAAGAGAGCCATAAATAAAACTATAAATATAATTCTGATGTAGCATCAAGAATATATTTAGTAGATGTTAATATTCATTATTAGAATAACAATGGATTGTCAGAATAATACATTTATAGAATAACAATTCATTATTAGTAGTTCCCCGTTCATTATTAGTAGTAAATAAATATAATATATAGAAATATTGACTTTCTTTCTTTTTGTATTAGTTGCTTTTTTACTATCTTCATTGGCATTGCTCATTTGTTAATTAGGTAAAACTTTAAACTAGCACTTGACAAACAGCACATAAAAATTTAATATATCACTTAAAATATCACTTAAAAATTTAAAAATTAAATTTAGAAATAAATATTATTGTTATTGAATATATCAATAATCTTTATATGCATAAGTAATACAGCATAACTTAGTTTTATTGTGAAAATGCACGAAGGCTTCGTGGGTTTTTACAAAAAAACTTTAAACTATAATGAATTGTAATTTAATATGTCTTAATAGGATGGTTGTAGAGTTTGCACTGTAGTTTATTCTTTTTTACCTGTTTATTTAATATAATCGGTCGTTTATAATCATATACTTAAGCTTAGTAAAATAATTTTTATTGCTTTCAAGGGAATATAAAGTATAGAATATATATATATATATATATATATATATATATATATATATATATATATATATATATATATATATATATATATATATATATATATATATATATAATATATATATGTGTGTGTGTGTGTGTGTGTGTGTGTGTGTGTGTGTGTGTGTGTGTGTGTGTGTGTGTGTGTGTGTGTGTGTATATATATCCCGGTGAGAAATCGGCTAGCAAATAGTTAGCTATAATCGTAACGATAAAGACCGCGATTTGGCCACGAGGATTGTTAGCTTTTTTAAAAAATTTTGATATGTAGCTATCAACCAGCTATAGATTTGTAGATATTTTGTAACCAGCTACAAAGCTACGATATTTAGCTAGCGACACATTGCTGTTTGTATATATATATATGCATATATATATATATATATATATATATATATATATATATATATATATATATATATATATATATATATATATATATATATATATATATTATATATATATATATATATATGTTTGTATATATATAAATATATATATATATATATATTTATATATATATATATATATATATATATATATATATATATGTATATATATATATATATATATATATATATATATATATATATATATATATATAATAATAATAATAATAATAATAATAATACTGCAGTAAATCAATACTAGGGGCACAAGTACCCAACAATGCACTAGAAAATGCAGAGTTATAGCAGCTACGTTAATAATTTATATTAAAAATCTAATAATAATAAAATGTTATGTTTAATTGAGTTAATTTTATCTTTTTGAAATTTATCATAATTGTTTTTGAATTTATTGATTGCCGCCTTAGGTGTAGCTCCCGAGGCTTCTATGACCGAATTAGGCAAATAATTCCATACCTGTGTGACTCTGTTTGATAAAAAGTTATATCTAAACTTCACAGCTTTACTATAATCATTTGCTTGTCTGCTAGAGTATATGTCTTTCTGGAGTTGATGATTATTAAATGTTCTCAAATTGTTCATTGTTTCATATTGAAAAATGCGTCTTCGATGTTTATTATCTTATTAGTTATTTTAAAAGTTTCGATACAGTCGCCTCTTTCTCTTCTTTTAGCTAATGACGTTAAGCCTAAGTTAGCTAGTCGGTTTGCGTAGGCAGTATTAGGTTGGCTCCATTTCGTAGCTCTTTTTTGAACTTTTTCAATTTTATCGATGTCACTGGCTAAAGAGGGATTCCAGGCAGTAGAAGCGTATTCTAGATGTGGTCTAACAAGACTGGTGTAAAGTTTTTTCCAAAGTTCTTTTTCACGACAAGTGAAAGTATTTTTTAGCATTTTTAATACGCTGTTTGCTTTATTCGTTATTTTATCACTGTGTGGCTTCCATTTTAAATCCGAGCTTAGTATTACACCTAAACCTTTCTCTTCTGTGGTAGTTTCAAGAGTGTGCATATTATTATTTGATGACGTATCTTGCATCTGATATTTAAAATTGTTATTAAACTTACCGAAATGCATAACTTTGCATTTCTTAGTATTTATCTTCATTAACCAAGTCTTGGACCAATTTTGAACTTTATTGAGACCGTTTTGTAAGTTTAACGACTGCTGATGCGTGTCTACAATTGAAATTATTTTAGTGTCGTCCGCTTATAGTTTACTAGTGTTGTCTAATAGACGTGGTAAGTCGTTAATGTAGATGTTGAATAGTTGAAGCCCTAAAACTGAGCCCTGTGGTACTCCGCTTGTAACATTACACCAGTCAGAGACCGTTTCCCCTAGTACTACTCTCTGACGACGATTAGAGAGAGGCCTTATCCATTTAACAAGATCGTTTTCGATTCCATAAGATAATAGTTTCGCTAACAGTCTTTTATGTGGCACAGTATCAAACGCTTTTGCGTAGTCCAAGTAGATTACGTCCACATTGTGACCCTGAGCTAGGGCCTTACTTCATTTTCGACTTTGGTGTAGCCTATCAATTGAGAATTTGGTTCCTTCAAAACAACTAGATGTGGTTCTTTCACAATCCTTGCATGGAACTTCTCATCGATTTTTTCCATTGTTAAAGCATCATTTTTTCGGCCGTCGAGTGAAAATGCTATCAAATTGGATGCATCATACTGCTTAAGAAGCAACTCTTGTCTGCATTTAGCTTTTTCTTGACGCACTTTTTTTTTATCCATGATGGTAAGATTGCCATATTCATCTTTTACGTCAATGTCTTGCATAAGAGATGTTACGAGTGCTGCTGCTATTCTATCAGACACACCAAATCAATCAAACATCGCAGCGAAGTTCGAAACATCGTATCTGGGAGTATACGGTCCTCGTATCATTGACGGAACATCTTGTGGATTTGAACTTGGCTCATCTGTATCAGTTTTTGGTTCATATGCTAAATGGCTCTCTTCAACGCTTGTTGATATTATTATTGACGTTGGTGCTGGCTCTTCGAATTCCGGTATTGTCAATCTTCTGACATTATTTTGATCTCGCATGAACTCTTTCAAATGATCTGGAATCAATCAACATGAGCATAATGCTGCCTTCAAGTCACATTGACATTTGCCGATGTAAAATAATTCTTTTGTAGATTACACGAACGTTCTGAATGTGGGGATTTTTGGATGTTTAGTTTCGATTTGATACTTCTCAATCAATGTACCCCATTTTTTAACAACAATTTTTTTTGTTAGAATTTCAAAATTAATTGACTCCAAATTTCAATCAATTTGTCTGTTAGGTGCGGTACGAATGTTTTAAACGAAAACATTTTTTTTCTTTTTTTTTTTTTAAATATTTTAGTTTACATTTGTTAGTTCGTTTTTACAATATAATGAGAGTAAATAAAAAAATAATACAAAGTATAAAGTAAGCAAATACTACTAACATTTGAAAAACTAGGTATCTGAAAGAAGATCAGTAAGATCTTATCGTCAGAACCTTATACTAGTGTACACAAAATATTATATTATAAAGTAACTATAAGTACAACAAAATAAAAATAAAATATACATACATATATCACTTTGTAGTATATATATTAAAGTTTAATAAATATTTCCATAATATAAATATTATTGTCAAATTTTGATGATACGGGAGAGAAAAAGATTTTTCAGCTTAACTTTAAAAAGATGCAAAGAAGTAGGTAGATCAAAATTAAAATTAGGCAAAACAATTTTGTTCCAAAGATGGGGTGCACGATAATCAATGCAAAATTGGTTAAAACTTGTTCGACAAAAAGGCTCATATAGAAGGTTGTTATTTATTAGAGAGTATTTATTGGTAGGTTTCAAAGTAATTAAATCATTAAAAACGGCAGGAGAATGATTGTTTTTACATATATATACAAAGCATAAAATATTAAAAATATTAAGTTTGTAAATATTAAGTATTCTCATTTTATAAAAAAGTTGTTTAGAGTGAGAAAAACGATCAGCAAAATTAATTACACGTATTGCATGTTTCTGACGGCAATAGAGAGATTTTAACTTACTTTTTTCAGTGCTTGCCCAAGCAATATTTGCATAATTCATATAGCTATGAACATAGGCGCCCGCAAAAAATTTTCTAAGGAAGGGGGGGGGGGGCAAAACATTTTTTGTTATTGCTTTTTTTCCTGTTATCTATTATGTAAAAATCAAGATATGTAAGATATAAAATAAAGAGAAGAAAAAAATTATACGTCCGTGGAAAAAAGAAGACAATTTAAACTTGTCAGCACCGTTTTTGTGTATAAAATATTCACATTTTTTTTATTGATCTTTATTAAATGTAAGGAATCAAACAGACATTGGCTCCAAAAAAGATGAAGATGATAATACGTCATTGTAATCTTTGCACAGAGCCTCCATATAAAGTTTTTTTTTAATTGATACTATATAAATATACAAAATATAGTAGCACATAAAGATTTTTATTATAAGTAATAGAGCATTAATAAGCATATCAAATAAAGGCAAAAAATTTATAATTTATTTATTTATATATATATATATATATATATATATATATATATATATATATATATATATATATATATATATATGTATATATATATATATATATATATATATATATATATATATATATATATATATATTATATATATATATATATATATATATATATATATATATATATATATATATATATATATAATATATGAAACTGTAACGAAGTATCACTAAAAGATATTTTTTACAGAAAAATTTAGTAACAAACTTTATGGCATGAAGAACGTTACAAACAAAAATTTTTTTCTTCTATATTTTGAAAATACAGTGGGGGGCAAGTGCCCTCTCTTGCCCCCCCTCCTTGCGGGCGCCATGGCTATGAATGAATGCATAATAAAGTTGGGATAAAACTTTTTTATTTATATAGATTCTGGCCTTATAAAGAATTCCAATATTTTTTGAAACTTTAGTACCAACATAATCAATATGTTGCTTCCATGTGATGTTCTTATCAAGGAATACGCCTAAAAATTTTGTGGTGCAATCTCTTTTTATTTCAATATGGTCAATAAAAATATCAGGTAGAGTTGGGGGTAAATAACGTTTTTTAGTTATCGAATGAAATAGAATCCATTTTGTTTTTTTAATATTTAGGGTTTATTGCATTTGAACCAGCTAGAAATTATTTTGAGTTCTTCATTCATAGTAGTGAAGAGTTTATTAATATTGTTATCAGATAAAAATAAATTAGTATCATCCGCAAACATAATACTTAAAAGATTAGAAACTTTATGCCCTAAGTGAAGTGGCCCTAAAATTGATCCTTGCGGAACACCACATGAAATATCTAAAACATTTTTTTGATAAGGATCGTTAAAAGAAACGAATTGTTTTCGGTTTGTTAAATAACTTTTAAACCACTTCAAAATTACACCACCCCCTCCATAATATTTAAGTTTATGAATCAAAATGCCATGATTTACTGTATCAAATGCTTCTGATAAATCCAAAAAAATACCTAAAGTGAATTGGGAATTTTTGAAAGAGTTGGAGATTTCACGGACGAATTGAATGATTGCATGCTCAGTAGAACTATTTTTTTTAAAGCCAAACTGATTTTTATAAAAAAAATTCTTCTTTTTAAAATAAGTATATAATCTATTGTAAATAATTTTTTCTAAAATTTTTGAAAATGTTGATAAAATAGAAATAGGTCGGTAGTTACATATATTAGTTCTGTCTCCTTCTTTGTATATTGGAATTATCTTAGCTATTTTTAACTTATCAGGAAAAACTCCTTGATGTATTGACGCTCTGAAAACTTTAAAGAGAATATCTTTTAATTGTTCAAAGCATTCTAAGACTATGTTTCCATTTATTTCATCAGCTCCAGGGACTTTGTTTTTTTTTAATAGATTTAAACGACACTTCAAACTCCTCAAATGATAGCTCAGAAGATAAATTATTTGAACAAATGCAATCATCCATCGGTGTTAAAAAGTTATTGAACACAAATTGGGTATTAGGAATTTTATTTGCTAGTTTCGAACCGATATCAATAAAGAATTTGTTAAACTCATGAGCTATTAATCTAGGTTCAAAAATATTTTTGTTATCCACTCTAATCACCTGCGGTAGGGAACCTGAGCAAGTTTTTTGTTTTTCACCAATTTCTCTTAATATTTTCAAAGTAAGTTTAGAGTCGTTCTTAACATTTTCAATTAATTTTGAGTAGTAATTCTTTTTTAAGTTTTTACGAGTTTTTTCAAATCGATATTTGTAATCTTTGTATATTTTTTCGTTCAAAGGTGTTTTTGTTTTTAAGTAATTTATATATAGCTTTTGTTTGATCTTAGATGATTTTTTAAAATCCTTAGTCATCCAAGGAGCATTTAAGCTTTTTTGATTTATTGTTTTTTCACAGATGGGAAAATTGGCATCATAGACAGAATAAAATGTTTAAAAAAAATTTTCATAAATTTTATTTGCGTCGTCATTAAAATTTATATGCTTCCAATGAAGCAGTGATAATTGTTTTTTAAACTGTTCAATATTGTTTATATTATATATGCGTTTACTTATTTTATTATTAGTTTTGGTTTTAATTTTAGAATTTGAGTTGAATGATAGAAATATTGGAAAATGATCAGTTATATCTCTTTCAATATACCTTTTTGTATATTGTTATTGAAGACATTAGTTGCAATAATGTTATCAATGAGAGATGCTGAGTTTGCTGATACTCTAGTTGGACGATTAATTAAAGGAATTGCTCCTATTTCAATTATTAAATCATAAATTTTTTTTATTTTACAGTCATTCTCGTAGTTTAAAAAATTCATGTTTAGATCGCCATTAATAAATTTTTTTTTTCTTTAATTCAGACCGTCAGGTGGTCGATGACAGCAGCTTAGTAATACATTTTTAGATTCATTGTTTAAGATTTCAATAGTTAAAATTTCTTTATCGCCGTAAGAAATACTTAAATCATTCCTAACGTAATGCGCAATGGTTTCTTTCACGTAAATAAGAACTCCGCCACCGCGTTTATTTGTATGTCTCTCTTGGGATATTAAAACGGAGAAGATAAAAGTTTGCGTAAAAGTTACTTCTTGTTTTTTTAATAGTTTTTTCAGTTTCTTTTAAAATGTTTTGCTTCTGATCTTCAAGCTTAGATATTATTAGTTTCTCAATATTTTTCATTGATAGATCCATCTTCGCACAGTTAAAAACAATAACGACTCACTCAATAATCACCTTTCAAATCCGGAAAACAACTTTAAAAGCAACTTTCACTTATACAAATTTAAAAGAAAAAAAAACACTTTTTCTAAAAAAAATAAAAAGACAACAACAAACTTTCAATTTCCAAAGTTTTCAAGTTTGTTTTGGAGTTTAGCATTTTGTTTTGAAGTTTAGCACGTTCGGCCAAGAAAAAAAACCATCTTAAAATATCCTGTTTCGTTGGCAGATTTAATCCACTCAAATCACAAGATGCACCAAAAACAGCAACATCGTGCGAAGGCAAATGTTTCAAATGACTTTAGGTACTTGTTGATGTTTTTGCGGTTTGCGATGTACACGGCAATGCATTTGGATCCATTGTATACTTTTACTAAAAGAATTGAAAAATAACTGAAATTAGTATATTTTAAAACATTTGGTTCGAATATATTTTTTCCACCTACAAATTTTTAAATACACAGTGGTAAAAATGGTGACAACTTTGAAACGAAAAACGAACGCTAAATTAATGACTCGAAGTCGTTTTTTTTACAAAACATAAACAAAAAAATACTCTCATATAAAATGTTGTAGTAAATATGATTACTATTTTTTAAGATTAATTTTATTCTCTTTTCCAAAACTGAAAATTTATGTGTTAACATTCGCAGTTTTTCTAGAATGAACGAGCAACGGAAACAGTATATAGGTGATGGCGAAATGTCAAACGACATTTTGGCCCTAAGGATCAGTTTGGTTTTTGGCTATACATTATTCCTACACTCATTATTCCGACATGCCATTCATACAAATATATTATTCCTACGCACATTATTCCTACATGCTATGCATATAAATAGATTACAATGTATTACATATTTCAGAAGAAAGTAACCAAGCAAGAGAACAACATCAATGCCTATGTGTATTAAATTACACATTTTTATCACATACCTTTTAATTCTTTTTGAATTTCACAATTATTCGCTGGCAGGAAATTTATAATTCACCTTCACTGAAATGATGCTCAAACACGAATAAACTGAAAACTCATAAATGTCATTGTTGTTGTGCTCTGTCACAAAATATGTCAGTAATGATATTTTACAGATTTTTTTAAATAAATACATTGTTGACTTGAAAGCAACAACACTTGTCGCTTTTTTTTCTCACTAAATTCATTTTTTTTTTTTTTTTTTACACATGTTATTTTTTTTAGACTGAATTTCTGTTTTGAATTGATCTTTATTTTATTTTTTTCTGAAAAAAAATAAAATAAAGATCAATTTTACCAAAAAATTTGTAATTTTTCTCGGAAAATAGACAAAAAATAGTTAGAATACGCATAAAACGCCCTCTGGCGGTGGTCATAAGTAAAAACAAAGATCAGAAATACATTTCTCGACTCCAAAAACACCCATATACACTTAAAAAAGATAATAAAACGATGAATAAAAAATCGAATTTTGAATCAAAATGATGTTATAGGGAAAAAATCATTTTTTGAAAAGTGGGAGACTCAAAAATTGAGATAGACCTATGGTTCCTTCACCAAAGTTGCTTAGAATTGTCCATAGAATCATCCTAGGGGGCGGCTCTAATCGACAAAAAATTTGGTCTGCTTTAATATATATATATATATATATATATATATATATATATATATATATATATATATATATATATATAATATATATATATATATATATATATATATATATATATATATTTATGTGTAAAAAGTACCGGAACGAGGTCCGGACTGTTCCGGCTCTATGAGATCCTGAAATATTTCGTACGGATAGACGACACAAGTGAAATCCGGACGGTTAGCAACTGTAAAACTGGATAAAAATAAACTTTCATCATTAGTGTCTTCCACATGGCTTTGTCGAATTTATTTTCAGTTTTTCCTGCAGGATCATTTTCCAATTCGTTTGTAAGATTTCCACTTAATCTTTTAAAAATGCTGAAAATTTGTATTTTTTTTTATACATTAGAAGTTTTTCTGTTAATTGTACATGGTTAAAACAATTTTTTTTTCCTGAATTTAAAATTTAAAAAAGTTAAAAACAATAAAAACTTGCACAAACTCTCAAATATATAGGTTTAATGAAAATAAAAACGTTTTTCGATGTATGCTTATTAAAGATGTTTCCAACAACAGCTCATCGACAATAAATAGTTTTTGAAACTTATCTAGAAGAGATGGATCATTACTAATAGAACCAGCCTTAATATGACAATAGTGTTCCATACAGGCACAAATAAGAGTTTTGAGAGGTATAAAATAGAGTCAAGAGTAAAACAATGGATTCTACCAAACCATCACAAGTTCCACCTAAAATAAAATAATTATTTATTTAATCCTATGCATTTAAAAATTTTTTTTATAAATTTTGATAACCTGTATTGACAGCAGGTGTCACAAATAGTAAAGGGTATTTTATGGGCAACATCATACTCTAACAATGTTTTCTTTAATATAGCTGCTAAATTTTTGGAGGTTTCTATAGTATGTAACGTTTTGAAATGAATGTACCAAAATGCTTGACCCTGAGGTGAAATTATCATACCTTCCACTTCCTTAATATTATAATCATATAGTGCCATAGCTTTCACATCAAGTTGTATGGTAAAAGATGGTTAAATAGGCAAAGTTGCCTTAATTTAACCAGAATTATGACTTTTATCAGCTCTATAAATAGCTGATTAATGTAGAGTTGGAATATTACCATTATGTTCAATCATGGAATTATGACAAGCTGGTATCTCTTTCCACAAAAAAGAAAGTTGCCTTAGCTCCTTTGTGGATAGAGATACCAGCTTCTACACTCATGATGGTAATTGGCATTACTTTAAACCAAAGAAAATATGTAAATGTATTTGAAAAGTACATATTTTTGTTTTATAAAGTATTATTACTCACTCTTAATTTGAGCTTTCTTTTCAGTGGTTCAAACAAAGGTTGAATATTTTCAGAGTCTTTAAAAGTTTTTATGTAATTTTCAGAGTCATTCACTTTCTTTGTAATGCCAGTTCTGGATACTGGTGGTAAGCTATATTTTATAATCCAAATCTTCCACTATTAGCATAACAGCTCTTAATGGCAGTGAAGGGCAAATTTCAACTAGATGGTTATAATATACAAGAATGTGTTAAAATTCTGGAAATCTTGAAATCGGCCAAAATTTTTTGTTTGTAATCCGTATCTAAAAGCTGAAACCAACAGTTCCATGAATTCTTTTGATTATGCAGGAAATATTTAAAAAAACATATTTTTAACTAAAATAGAAATTGTATAAAATTACTTTTTTACTACTTTGCTATTGGTCCTTAAGCAAAATTATATTTGTTTACTATTAACTTCAGCTAATTTAAGGAACACAAATTCTCCAATATTTCCAATAAGTTTGTCTGATTTCTATCAATTAAATTCTTTTATTTGCCCTCATAATATTTTTAATTAATTAGGGGTCTTCTATAAAGTTTGTACGCAAGAGCAAAGAGCAAGGTGCGGAGTTTTTTTTAAATAACTGTTAAGGAAAGGAGGGGGGGATAGTTAATTTTGTAATAAATAATACATATGTACACAGTAGAAGGGGGGTTGTTAAATGCATACAGATTTGAGAAAGTTCACAAATCAGTGGTTTTACTGTGTACATCCTTTATGGAAACCCTTGATTTTTTATTAAATTGTTCTTAGAATATTATTATTCATATTATAAAAAAGATTTCATAAGAAAATAAAAAATCACAATAGTGAACTATTGAGCTTGTTTGATGAAAGATGTTTGATGAAACAATTTGATAAAAGATTTTGATGAAAGATTTGGATAAAAGATCGTTTTCTCTTAAAGTAGTTTTGTAATTTTTTTGTTTTTGATTATCAAATCTTTTAATATTGAAAAATTTAAATTGAATTTAAATTGACACTTTTAAATTGTTTAGAAAAAAATGTTAAGCGCGCTCGTAACAACTGCTATAGCTAGGTTTCTTTTCACGTTTTACGACCATAAAAAAAGTTTCTGTACAAAAAAAAATTTTATACAGAAAATATAGACTATGTGATTTTTGTTTTTTTATTCGACAGCTTTAATATCTGAAAAAGTATCGCAGTAACTTCTACTCTTATTACATTTTTAATAAGCTACCTTTTACTTTTACTTAAGTAAACATTTCAATCGGTAACTTTTACTTATACTTGAGTAAAATTTCACTCAAGTAACAGTACTTTTACTTGAGTACAATTTTTTTTTACTTTTTCTACCTCTGGTATTTCTTAGAGTATTTAACAGTCATAGTATTTTTAGATAATCTGCAAAAGTCTTTGTTGTAATTATTTGAAGAAAACCTTAAAAAACATTTTGAATAATTGTACACTTTGTTGCAGCATAACCTTAGTAATAAAAATAAGTGTACCAAATTGAAATTTACACATAGGTTTTCAAATTTGACTAGAGTATGTTTTATTTAACTGTAACAAATATTCTTTAAGTAAAAAATTCAAAATCTGATTAGAAGGTTTTTAATTCAAATATGAAAAATAAGTTTTAATTTAAATTGAAATCATTTCAACTAGCATAAACTGAAGGTTAAAGATTAAACACATAATTTTGTAATACTTTTTTTTTTGATAAGCATTATTTTTCTTTTTTTCTTTAATGTCAGTTACAGAAAAAAAAAATACAAAATACAACTAAAACAAGCAAGTAAAACATAGCAGATAGCTTGGCTTATCAAGTTATTTTGGTTATGATGCTCAAAATTAGATATTACTTATACCAAGTAAGAATTCTGTATGGGAAAAGTTAAAAATTATGCAAAAAGAAAGGGAACAGATAAGCGAAAACAAAAAATTGCTTAAGTTAAAATCTGTGAGTAACAATCAAATTTGAAGGGACATTTTGTGAATTAAAGTAGTACCTCTCCCTTGCTTGATTCAAGAGGAGGTGGAAATAAAAGGAAGGGGGAGGGTATTTTGATCCAAATCACTGCCATCTTTATACAACAGGCTCTGTAAATGAACAAATTGTGCAATAAACTAGGGGCCATTGTTAAGCAGTAAGCAGTTGTTAAGCAGTTAAGTCTTATTTCTACAAAACCTGGTTCATCTTAACAAATAAAACTTTGTCTGCAGTGTTCAATAAAGTTCCAGATGAACTCCATCTTAAAGTAGCTAATTTTGATCATCTTAAAAATAAGGTTCGAACTGTCAGGCTTGACTTGTTGATCCACTCTGCTTGGTACTTTACCAACAATACATCATGCATACAGTCTACTGATTTTGAAGAAAATTCGTCAATACCTAGAGTTTTGATGAAAATTAAGAATGATTTGACTTTTGAAGGATTTTTTTGTAGTATAAAGTATACAATCCAAAGTTTATCAAAACGGAGTAACCAAGTTTAAATCATATTCACAACTTAAAAAATGTTGGAGATACCTTAATACTTTAATAAAAAGCAACAAAGGTAATGTATTTCAGGAGCATTTTGATGCAATGAGACCTGTTATCTTAGGAAAAAATAGTATACTTCTGAAATGATTATTTGTGGTTTTGAGTATTATTCTTCATCTAGATCGCTATATGACAGACTGAGACAAGACTACCAGCCTCCAAGTATTTCACTTCTTCAAAAAATTACATCAAAAGTTAATTCTTCTCTTGATGATTTAAAATACATTAGTGAGATTTTTCGAAAGGCAAAAAACAGTTATGAAAAAATGTATTTTATTATCAGACCAAGTCTACATTAAGTTATTTCTTACATATTGCTATGGGTCTTTATTAAGAAAGGCTGTAAACAGACCTGATTCATTAGCATCAACCATTTTAAGTTTTATGATAATTTCAATTTACAGTGGTCCAACATATTTATGTCGTATGTTGCCAGTATTAAAACATAATGCTGTTTTTTTATTTGAGCAGGCAAATCATTTGATTGGTTGTATTCATGAATCTGATGGAGAGTTGCTATCATTTGTGATAACAATTGTATCAACCAGTCTTTTTACTCTAAGTTTACATGTAGGGAGCCAAGGAAAACAGAAAGTAATATATTTTTACTTTATGACTTTGTAAAAAACACAACTCTAAAGTTTGAAGATGATGGTGAATTAAAGTCAGCTTTGAGGTCTGATTTAAAACATTTACATAAAACTGAAAAAGGAAGTATAGTTAAACTTTCAAAACTTAACAGTGTATTGGTAGCATCAAAACACATTTAAAGACAAAAAGTATCTACTTGTCTGTGCATATTTTGTGATGAAACATTAGCTGCACTGAAAACTCATTCTAACAAGGTAATTCAGATGGTACCATATGATTTATTGAAATTATATTAAAGTTTTGGAAGATTGTATATGTTAAAAGATGTTATCGTGATGATGATAGAGCTGTTATATCTTCTGAAGATAAAAAAAGATTAACTATTTTGAGCAAAACTGCTTGTATAGTGCAGAAAATAATTAGTAGTCCAGGACAAAGACAATATCAGGTATGAGTCAGCTCAAATGTGATACAGGGACGGCACTTTAGCATACATGTTTGGGAATGATTGTTCTTGTTAAGTTAAGTAACTCTGGATTTCGATATGTGGTACTTGGTAAATTTACAACAGACCCTTAAGAAAAAATATTTGGAAAGTTTCAACATTTTAAAAACTTTTGTTGTCAAAGTAAATAGAATTTTTATATTTTTTTCATATTTTTATTTGTACTTAATCTAATGTTTTTTTTTGTGAACATATTGTTTATTAAGCTTACTTTATATTTTTCTCTCTTCCAAAATGTCTGTTCCAGCTGAATAATATTTCTATATTTATCAAACATCCACTTTACTTGTAGCTGTTTATTGAAATGCATCAGAAACTTTAGTTATAAAAGAATAAAATATGTTTTTTACTCCTGACTTGATTATTAATAATTATAATATAA